TCGCGAGACCCAAGATTTCCGTCTGATCTGTGGATACTCCGGGGGGGGGGCGGGGGGAATCGGTTCGTGTGTGGTTTGCGTGATTTTTGCCGTGTGGCTGCGCACCACACACTGTACGACCAAAGTGGTTAGACCCGTGATTTTTTTATATCCCTGTGTGGGGTCTCACACAGAGAAAAATCGGCCGACAATTTTAAAATCGTCTCGTGTGAACCAGGCTTAAGGCAGACCTTTATCCTTTGCCTAGGATGGAGGACTGCATTGATCAGGTTGGTTCTGCAAAGTATGTTAGCAAATTTGATCTTTTAAAAGGTTATTGGCAAGTGCCACTCACTAAAAGAGCTCGTGAGATTGCTGCTTTTATAACACCGTCTGGCTTGTTTTCTTACACAGTAATGCCTTTTGGATTGCGGAATGCTCCTGCCACCTTCCAGAGGTTGATGAATCGAGTAGTCTCGGGATTGGAAGGTTGTGCCGTTTATCTCGATGTGGTGGTCTACACACACTTGGGATGAGCATCTCTGCAGAATTCAGGCCCTGTTCGACAGACTGGAGTGGGCCCGGTTGACAGTAAATCTGGCAAAATGTGAGTTTGCCAAGGCCACTGTCTGTTATCTCGGCAAGGTTGTGGGTCAGGGGTTTGTTCGTCCTGTGGAAGCGAAAGTCCAGGCTGTGAAGGATTTTCCGCAGCCCACCACGAAGAAGGAGCTTATGCGCTTCTTGGGGATGGCAGGGTACTATCGTGCTTTCTGCAAGAACTTCTCCTCTGTGGTGTCCCCCCTGACCAACCTGTTGAAGGCTAAGGCAGAGTTTGCCTGGTCCTCCCAGTGTCATGAGGCTTTTGTTTTGGTCAAGGCTCTTCTGTGTTCGGCTCCGGTGTTGGCAGCACCAAATTTCAGTAAGCCCTTTAAACTTTAAGTTGATGCAAGTCACATTGGTGCAGGTGCTGTTCTCTTGCAGGAAAATGATGACACTATAGACTGTCCTGTAAGTTTCTTCTCCCGGAAGTTTAGTAAGTACCAACTTAATTACTCTGTGATTGAGAAGGAGGCTCTGGGTCTCATTTGGGCTTTACAGCATTTTGAGGTCTATATCGGTTCCGGTCTGACCCCCTTGACTGTTTTCACGGACCATAACCCCCTTACGTTCCTTAAGTCCTTACAAAACCCAAATCAGAGACTGATGCGTTGGGCTCTGTTCCTGCAGCCATATAATCTAGAGATTAGGCATATACGGGGTAAGGACAACGTTATTGCTGATGCTCTTTCCCGTGCTCCTGTGTAGTAACTGTTTGTTTCCTTTGCCTTCTGTCAACTCCGCCACTCTTAAACTGCTTCCCAGGTACCAGGGTTGCCGAGAGGGGGGGCTGGCAGTTGGTGAAGGATGCGAGGCACTGACTGGAGCCGTATGCCTGGATTGAGGGTGGACCCTCATCTTAAGGGGGGGGGGGTGTCACGGCCCCTCCCTGCCTGACAGGGGCGTTTCCCTCTCAGGCAGGGTGGATCCAGTGATTGGGGCACCTGTGCTTAAATGTGTGTGTGTCACTAACACTTGGTCTCTGCTCTGCTCCCTCCAGGTACGGGATCGTTGGTTCTTTGTTTCGTCATTCGTTATTTGTTAATATTAGCTTTGTTTTCACACTCAGACATACGCACACATACACTGGTTTTCATTCACTGACTTGCACACACTGCCCACATGTTGATTATTATCCTTTGTTCGTCGTTTTCATTATTTACAATAAATATGTCAAATGACCCTACCTGTCTGTCCCTCATTTTGACACAAGCATAGAGCCAGCTTGTGACAATAATGTACCGTGATTACTTATGATTTTAATGCCATCTTGTTTTGCTCAGCACTTTGAATTGCCTTGTGTATGAATTGTGCTATATAAATAAAATTGCCTTGCCTTAATTAGTTTATACTTGCATGCAACAAGGAGGAGATGGTTTTATGGCGGCGAGGAGGCATCTGCGTCCTCTGCAGCCCAAAACCAAGTCCTAACCCGTTTGCTCTGCAGGCAGCGTTTGATTTCAGAGCAGATAACACACCTTCACACAGGGAAAAGCCCCAAAACTAGGTGAAGTTACACATTACCACTTGTTGGACAACGTCTTGCCACATAGTCTCACACAAAAGACTCCTCAATGTGGACAATGCGGATAATAATTCAATTGGTTTCACTTGGAGTCCTTTTCGACAAAGAACTCTCCTTCAAGGCTTATATAAGCCAAGCTACTAAAGTAACTCACGGAACATCGCTAAAATCAGGAATTTCCTTCCTAAAAGTGACGCGGAAAAACGTACCCACTCTTTTGTCACCTCAAGACTTGACTACTGTAACGCTTTATTGGCAGCATGCCCTTAAACCTCTTTGACGAGCTTCCGGCTCGTTCAGAATACAGCAGCTAGGATCTTAACAGGTACCAAAAGGAGGGAGCACATAACTCCGGTGTTAAAATCACTCCACTGGCTCCCTGTGGAGTACAGAATAAAGTTTAAAATCCTTCTCTTAACATACAAAGCCATAAATGGCTTGGCTCCTTCTTATCTCCAACACACGTTAGTGTCATATCAACCAAGTCAAGCGTTGCGCTCACAAAACGCCAGACGTCTGGTGGTTCCTAAGGTCTCAAAAATCACTGTCGGCGGCAGAGCATTTGGCTCCAAGCTCCTTTACTGTGGAATCAGCTTCCCATTTACAGTGCCTTTTCAACATTTTGCCACATTTCAGGCTCCAAACATAAAGATATAAAATTCTTTTTTTGTCATGAATCAACAAGTGGGACACAATCGTGAAGTGGAACGAAATGTATTGGATAATTTAAACTTTTTTAACAAATAAAAAACTGAAAAGTGGGGCGTGCAATATTATATACTTTCAGTGTAGCAAACTCACTCCAGAAGTTCAGTGAGGATCTTTGAATGATCCAATGTTGTCCTAAATGACTGATGATAAATAGAATGCACCTGTGTGTAATCAAGTCTCCGTATAAATGCACTGCTCTTTGATAGTCTCAGGGTTCTGTTTAAAGCGCAGAGAGAACCATGAAGACAAAGGAACACACCAGGCAGGTCCGAGATACTGTTGTGGAGAAGTTTAAAGCCGGATTTGGATACAAAAAGATTTCCTAAGCTTTAAACATCTCAAGGGGCTCTGTGCAAGCAATTATATTGAAATGGAAGGAGTATCAGACCACTGCAAATCTACCAAGACCCGGCCGTCCCTCCAAACTTTCATCTCAAACAAGGAGAAGACTGATCAGAGATGCAGCCAAGAGGCCCATGATCACTCTGGATGAACTGCAGATAACTACAGCTGAGGTGGGAGAGTCTGTCCATAGGACAACAATCAGTCGTGCACTGCACAAATCTGGCCTTTATGGAAGAGTGGCAAGAAGGCCATTTCTCAAAGATATCCATAAAAAGTCTTGTTTAAAGTTTGCCACAAGCCACCTGGGAGACACATCAAACATGTGGAAGAAGGTGCTCTGGTCAGATGAAACCAAAATCGAACTTTTTGGCCACAATGCAAAACGATATGTTTGGCGTAAAAGCAACACAGCTCAACACCCTGAACACACCATCCCCACTGTCAAACATGGTGGTGGCAGCATCATGGTTTGGGCCTGCTTTTCTTCAGCAGGGACAGGGAAGATGGCTAAAATTGATGGGAAGATGGATGGAGCCAAATACAGGACCATTCTGGAAGAAAACCTGTTGGAGTCTGCAAAAGACCTGAGACTGGGACGGAGATTTATCTTCCAACAGGAGAATGATCCAAAACATAAAGCCAAATCTACAATGGAATGGTTCACAAATAGACGTATCCAGGTGTTAGAATGGCCAAGTCAAAGTCCAGACCTGAATCCAATCGAGAATCTGTGGAAAGAGCTGAAGACTGCTGTTCACAAACGCTCTCCATCCAACCTCACTGAGCTCGAGCTGTTTTGCAAGGAAGAATGGGAAAGAATTCCAGTCTCTCAATGTGCAAAACTGATAGAGACATACCCCAAGCGACTTGCAGCTGTAATTGCAGCAAAAGGTGGCGCTACAAAGTATTAGCGCAAGGGGGCCGAATAATATTGCATGCCCCACTTTTCAGTTTTTTATTAAAGTTTAAATTATCCAATAAATTTCGTTCCACTTCACAATTGTGTCCCACTTGTTGTTGATTCTTGACAAAAAATTGAATTTTTATATCTTTATGTTTGAAGCCTGACATGTGGCGAAATGTTGAAAGGGTCAAGGGAGCCGAATACTTTCGCAAAGCACTGTATGTTAAGGAAGCAGATACGGTTCCCACATTCAAGGCCAGGCTTAAAGCACTCTACTTTAATTTAGCATATAATTAGGCTGTTTGCCTGGATCGGTTTGTACACTTGGTGTGCAATCCATAATATATGTATTCTTTCGATATGGACCAATTCAATTTGAGTCTGAAAAAAAGATTTGTAAAAGACCCCAAAGCAGACACTGCAAAGCATGTTAGGAAAAAGGAAAAACCCTTTATTAAGATATGATAGCATCGATAGAATCCCACTCAGGGTGCCTTAGTCTTCACTGAAAGACTCAACAGTCCTGTGAAGTGGTGGAGAGGTTGGACTCATGATGGAGTGCCTTTGGCTAAGCATACCTCCAGTCCCTCACCTCCTCCACAGAGTATAGTTGGACAGCCCAGAACTGAGCCCTCCAGACAGCTTGTCAATTCAGTTCCTGTCGCACTCGTGTGCTGCCCTGGGCGCCAGCACACGGCAGCGTAAGTGGATAGTCTACCACAGAGTCATGCAAGGCCTTGGCAGAGGCCTGCTCTCCTATACAGCCTCCTCAGAAGGGGGCAGACGACTTGACCCATCTTGTACATGGCCGTTGGGTTATGGACCAATCCAGTTTTAGTGTTCATGTGAACACCCAGGTTTCTGCCCACCAGTGCGTCAAGAACATCTGGCAGGTTTGGCAGCTCTGTGTTCTGTACGTGCGGCCTGGCAGGCCGGACCATGGCAGTGAGGTGACAGAGGCACTCCTGCTCCGCCATCTTCCCTCGCAGCAGTGCCGGACTGAAGGTGTTGAAAGCACTAGAGAAGTCAAAGCATCCTCTACTCCAGATGTTGGGCCTGTAGGCGCACTCAGCGGGTCCAAGGGTGGGGCTGACCACATGAAGGAGATGGGCGAGGGATGCGCTTGACTTGGCTGGGGGGTCACTGAGCAGACAGGTCGTCTTGAAAAAAAGAACATATGAAATGAATCACAAGGGCACAAATGCGACACATCCTAAGTTAGAAGCGTTTCACTAGATTCTTGCTAAATGATAGGTCTGTACCACTGAGAAGACGGAAATAATCTGCAGTGAGACCTTGGATCGTAGAGTTCAGGTGTACTGCTCAGAGATCTCATCAGCAAAAACACCAATCCTGCAAGACCACAAGCGGGGACTAAGAGACCAGGGATGACACACTGGGGAACCGAACATTTTTTTTCTGCACTACTATACTAATGAATTGATTCAGTTGAAGTTGAAATAAGAAGTTGTGGACAACTGTCAGTAACGACAAATATGTTTTGCCCCACATTATAATATACAAATAATATACATCCCAGACCACCCCTTACCGTGCAGGGCTGCTTCCAGTAAACCTCTTTATCTTGGTCAGGTCCTGTGTCTGTCTCCCTGGTCCTGATGTCCAGTGAGCTCTGCACTCCAAGGCGCTTCTACAAGCACCTCTATGCAACGCCAAATAAATGTAGTTTTGAGAAAAAAGAGTTTTTAAAGAACGATGTTGGGTGTGTCGTCCTCCTAAGTTCAGCCTGAGTCAGTACAGATGAGAAAGGCACACATCTTTTGGGCACCGTCAGCTGCGCCACAATTTCTGCACTGGCAATTTTCAGTGCAGCTAAAAGTGTTTGTTTTTATTTCCAGGGCAGCAAGAAGCTAAAGGCATTTTTCACAAGAAAGTCCCCAAGGCAGGGGGGATGGGGGTGGAGCCCAGAGTTGTCAAGATGCTCTCTGCCTGAGTTTACAAAGGAAGTAGTCTCTGTCTCAAAGTTTGAAGTTTCACAAGATCAAGCTAAAGATAGGCAGTACTCTGTTAAAACGGAACCATCTGCTGTGAGACCGGTGAGGTCAGGTGTAACTGCCTCATATATATCCCACAGAAAAACACCAATATCCTGCAAGACACAAAGAGGGAGACAGGGATTAGGCAGAGAACAGATACATGGGGAACAGAAGATTTATTTTCTTCACCAAATATAAATGATTCAGTGAACAAGAACAACTGTCAGAAACAAACAATAGGTTTTTGGCCTCACTTTATACAATATCTATACATAGACCACCCATACATCAGTGCTCCTCCATCACCCCTCTCATCTTATCAGGGTCAAGTCGGTGTGTGCTGTACCCACTTGTCCATAATGTCCAGCGAGCGCTGCCACGTGTGATCCAGCATCTTTTGCTCTGCGACACACTCTCTCTGCACTCAAGGGCGCTTCAGCAGGCACTCTCTTCTGCCAAATACAATTTAATTGTGAAAACAGATTGTTAAAGAACATGCGACGTCCTGACCTCCATAGCTCACCTGAGCTGCTCTCGACATTGATGACCGACCTCCAGAGTTCACCTGGGTCTGCGCTGTTCCTTCTGTGGGCGCTGGCATAAAAGCTGCGGCAATTTCTGCACTGGCATTTTCAGTGGCAGCACGAAGTTTTCGATGGTCATTTCAATGGCAGCTAAACATTTTGGAGATACTGTAAACAGTTCCCCAGGGCCAGGTATGGTGCCCTGGTTGTTCTCTGTGCATCTGGAAAACCAAGAAGGTCAAAATGCTCTCTGCCAAACGTGGCTGATAAATGCCAATTAAATACTACTCAACTAAACATGCCACTAAACTTCTAGCTGCCACAGAAAAGGCCCACTCAAGTTTGCAGCGGCAGAGACTTTGTTGGCAGATTCCAGTGTCACTGCGCCTAACATAGATGTCTGTCAGGGACAAGAAGGGAATCTTTTTTTGTGGCTCCTATAGTTGCCACTGAAAACCAGTGGCAGTAATAATGGCAGCAGCCACAGGTCAGGTAGACTCCTTTTACTGCTCTGACACGGAAGTTTGGTCCTTCCCGAGTCTGGGACCTACTCGTGCTGTGAAATAACCTGAGAGGGAGAAACAGGAAGAGGAAGAAGGAAAGGGAGACTGTAAAAAGTGGGTCCTCGGAACTGCTCTGAATAGAAGTGTGAAGAAAGGATCAGGGATTACGAGGGCAGGATGGGGTTTAGGACGAGGGGTCTCAACCGGCTTCCAGAAAGGGCCATTGGCTGCAAGTTTTACTTCAAACAGTTCCTAACTGAGCAGGACAACAGATACACCCACCCATTTCCTCAAATCTTCAGTAAAACTGACTCACCTGAGGAAATGGGTGGAGTCATCTGTGGCCCTGCTCATTTGGAACTTTGGAAGTAAAACCTGGAACCACATGCCCTTCTGAGCGTGGAGAAGAGGAGGGAAAAGTGGGGAAGGGAGGAGAGTGGAGGGAGAGAGAAGGGGAGGGAAGAGTGAGAAGGGAGGAGAAGTGGTGGGAGATAAGAAGGGGAGGGAAGAGTGGAGAGGGGAAGGGAGGGTCACAAGGAAGGGAGCGGGCAGGAAGAAGAGGGAGCAGGAGACGAGCGGCGCTGCCTCTTGGAGTTGTTCTCGGGGAGCCCTCGGACCTGCTACGTTTGTGGGAAGAAGAGGAGTGGGAGAAGCAGTGTTAAAATCTGAAAGAGCAACCTAGGTCAGGTAAAATCTGAAACACCGAGAAGATCTGGACCTAAAATAAACTCCTCTGGACCAGAGAGGAAATGTGAGGGGGAGGCAAGAAGGGGAGAAAGACAGGAGCACTGCAGGAGGAAGGGGACATATTGCACCTAATGAAATTGACGACTGAATAGGGAGCAACAGTGGGGGAGGCAGGAGCTGGATCCAGAGTCTGCACAAAAATGTCCAGAACTCCTCAAGGCTCTGGAAATCAAGGCAAAAAAGAAGACGAGGAAGCGTAGAGGGAGGAAAGGGAGAGGCAGGACTGAGGGGGGGAAAGAAAAGGAGAAACAGGAGGTGAAGGGCCGGCCTGCAGTAGGAGTATCCGCCAAAGTCCACCTGCGGAAGTGGAGATCCACCTGCGGAGGGAGATCCACCTGCGGGAGCGGGGTCCACCTGCGGAGAGGGAGACACCTGCGGAGGAGATCCACCTGCGGAGGGAGGCCACCTGCGGAGAGGCCACCTGCGGAGGGAGGATCCACCTGCGGAGGAGGTCCACCTGCGGATGGAGGTCCACCTCGAGGGAGGTCCACCTGCGGAGGGAGATCCACCGTGGCGGGAGAACCGCCTGCGGAGGAAGCACCGCCTGCGAGGGAGAACCGCCTGCGGAGGAGAACCGCCTGCGGAGGAGATCACCTGCGGAGGGAGATCCACTCTGCGGAGGGAGTTCCGCCCAGCGGGTGGAAAGAAACCCTGGGGAGGGTAATCCACCGGCTGGAGATAGAAACCCTGGGGAGGGAATCCCACCTGCTGGAGATAAGAAACCCTGGGGAGGGTAATCCCCTGCTGAAGATAAGAAACCCTGAGGAGGGGTTGTCCACCTGCGGGGAATGGAAACCCTGGGGAGGGTTGTCCCACCTGCGGGGGAAAGAAACCCTGGGGGGGTCGTCCACTCTGCAGGGCAAAAGAAACCTGGGGAGGGATCTCCACCTGCGTGGACAGAAACCCTGTGGGGTCGTCCACCTGCAGGTCAAAGAAACCCTGGGGAGGGATCACCACCCTGCGGCAAAGAAACCCTGGGGAGGGTCGTCTACCTGCAGTCAAGAAACCCTGGGAGGATGACCACCTGCGGGACAAAGAACCTGGGGAGGGAAGACCACCTGAGCGGGGCAAAGAAACCCTGGGGGAGTGAAGGACCACCTGCGGGGCAAAGAAACACTGGGGTGGGAGGTGGAGATGTTTCTTCAAAAGCCCGGGGGGCTACACGGTCTAAGAAAAGAAATAAAAATCAAGTCAAATATTTGTTGTTTTTAGCATCATTCATAACATGTTTGAAATATTTAAATCCTAATATCCAAGACCACCGTTGTTTCGCTGAGCCCTCTGTCCATGTGTACGACTGTCACAATAACACATTTTCGATTAAATGGCCCAGATTTTTTCCAATAAACGCCAATAATGTCATTAATTTTAAAATTGTCCTTTGGAGGCTTTTTGCACTGCCAAACGGCATAAAAACGGCAAATTGACCATTTGGAAGATCAATAATTCTTTAAAACATTTAACAATGTTCTGGAACTGGAAAACATTTTAACAAATCAGTCCCAGTAACCATAAATACTCCTAGAAAACCAAAATTAATAAAAAGCAACCATTGACTCTTTGAGCTCCCTGTTTATTTTTGTATTTAATGGTATTGTATACCTCTAGGACTGCCTTTTTTGGGACAAAAAGATTCTCCCAGGCAACTCATACTGAGGGTCAAATATGAGGAACATTTTTCGAAATGCATATGTTCATCGGTATAAAGCAGCAGCATTACCTGGCAATTATGAAAACCACGCTGTCGGCCAGTTTGCACCATTTCTTGTTTGAACGTTGTTAGAAGTAATGGGACTATTTTTTTTTAAATACACGCAAAGCACCCCCTTTTGAGTATAGCATTTTTGACAAAACAGGAAAATAATTACCTTTGGAAGCTTGAAATATTCAACATTATCTTAATAATTTTCCCAAACGTCTGAAATATTTTGCCAACAATTGTATTTTTTATGGAACAGACATATAAATAGAGCATTTATTTCAAATAAAAATCATTTATTTTGGTGCTTTAAAGTGCTGTCTGTCACATCGGAATTTGAAAGATTTTCTATAATTTATTTTTTTGTAAAAAGGGGAAGTAACTTTGCTAACAAAGTTTGTTTTCAGTGTGTCTGGAATATGGGCTAAGAGTCTGAATTAAAGCTAAGTGAGAAAACTTGTGTGTAGATTATTTTTTACTTTTGGGCACAAGTTACCAACATGCATTATTAATGCAAGGGAAAATGTAGGTACCCCAGCTTTAATTTGGTGAGTTTTAGCTTCAGTGCTTCAGGAGGAGGGGGGAGACATGGACACAGGTTACACAACATTTAGGTTGCAACAATGAATCTTATAGTCAGGTTCACAGCCGCTGGAGGTGGGAACTGCTGTCATTCACTACAAAGCGGCAGCAGTGCTCCGGATCAGAACGCTTTGGCAACAGAGCATGCAGAATCTCGTTCTAGTACATGCAATAATACATCCATTGCTTGCTCCTAGTGGTGTGCACACACATTACATGCCTCTGATTGGCTCTTGCTCAACACACTTGGAGACAATGCGTTATCAGGTAGGTAGGCTGATGACAAAGAGCGAACAAACAAATGGAACTTATCGAAGCCATCAGACTTACTGACCTCATTTTTAGTTACCGCATGATAACACAATTTATTATATGACTTGGATCGTACGCGTGCTCTGATTGGTTGATTTGCGGTCTGATATTTTCCCATCTCGGACCCTTACTATGACAATTGGTCCGCAGCGCTTATCAAATTTGATATCTTTCCTCGGTAAAAAAAGAAAGAGTGACGACTTCGAAGAGCCAGAGGAAGTAATAACAGCAAATAACGACGAAAATACAACTCCTAACAGTCAAGAAGAGACTGACAACTTCATTACAGATCAGAAAGGTTTGGATGAGTTTTTGGCTCAGCCCACTCTTGAAAAACTTGATCAATGCAGAAAGGTGGATTTGATTGCTATTGCCACGAACTTTGCAACGCATATTAATAAGCTCGATAAAAAAAGATCATTAAATTAAAAGTGCACTGTGCCCTTGCTGAGGAGGGGATTCTCCCTCCCTTGGATCCTGCTCCCAGCGCTGAGGTTTTTCCCAGCGTTGAGCTAAACCCTGACCACGATGTGCGTGTACTGGAGTTACAGTTAGAAATGCGCAGGTTGGAGGCTTAAGGATCAAGCACAACAGCGGGAATGGGAATTCAAAGAGCGTGAGCAACAACGTCAATTTGAGCTCCGCAGACTTGAATTAGAGGAGGCTAGACGCGACTCGGTGCGCGTGAGTATCGGCCCCTCTGGCAATAGAAATGATGATTTTGATGTTAATAAATGCATCCGTTTGATTCCACCATTTTCTGAAAAAGACATTGACAAGTATTTTATTTTGTTTGAGCGAGTGGCCCAAACATTAAAGTGGCCTAAGGAGATTTGGAGCTTACTTTTACAGTGTGTACTCACTGGGAAGGCTCAAGAGGCGTACGCCTCTCTTTCTCCCGAGAAAAGCTTGGAGTATGAGAGCGTGAAGGCCGCTGTTTTGAGAGCCTACGAACTCGTACCTGAAGCGTATCGGCAGAAGTTCCGTAGATACAAAAAAGCTGAAGGACAGAGTTACGTTGAATTTGGGAGAGAAAAAATGGCCCTATTTGATCGCTGGTGTGCAGCACAAGATATTAACACTTTTGAGCAACTGCGTGATCTGGTCCTAATGGAGGAACTGAAAAGATGTGTTCCTGAGAAAATAGCAACCTATTTGAACGAACAAAAAGTGACCACATTAACCGCTGCTGGAATAATGGCAGACGAGTATGTTTTAACTCATCGGAGAATTTTGATAAGGCCATCCCGTTGCAGCGTGGTTCAGCTGGGGATGGAAACGCGGTGGAACAGGGCAGGGCAAAAGGCCATTTTGACAAAGATATTTTTTGTTCGTATTGTAAAAAGCGTAATCATACCGTTGATAATTGTTTCAAACTTAATAAGAGGAAACCTAAAGGCGTGGCTTTAGTGGATTCCTTACTTGCATCGCGCGCACATGAGACAGACTGGACAGATCTGAAAGTGTACTCTCCTTTTCTTATGAAGGGTTTTGTGTCTTTGTCTAAAGATAATGTGAAAGTCCCTGTGACTATGTTAAGAGACACTGCGGCGTCCAGATCAATTATTAAGCAAAATGTGTTGCCGTTGTCTAGTGAAACTTCACTGAAATGTAATGAGCTGGTGCAAGGTTTTGGTATGAAACGTATGAATTTGCCCATGCATTCCATACTGCTCGAATCGGATTTAATTTCTGGTCCGGTTGCGGTGGCTTCGTGCGCCACCTTCCCAATTAAAGGAGTAGATTTTCTGTTGGGAAATGACCTAGCTGGGGGGAGAATATTGGTTAATCCCGAAGTGACTGCCGTGCCCCTTGTTTCTGATGGTCCTGATGAGCTGGAAGTAAAGTTTCCCTCTGTGTTCCCAGTGTGCGCTATTACGCGCGCTATGGCAAAAAAGGCTATTTTACATGTTTCTGATAGTGACTTGGAGAACAGCTTTATGAATGATGATGCTTTAGAGCATAAGCTGTCCGAGAACATTAGTCCTTCTGCATGTTTGACTTCAGAACTTGCGCCAGCCGTGCAAAGTGCTGCGCCGAGCCCAGTAAAAGTCGAAAAGCCAAGGGTTGATTTTACACACATGTCCAGAGAGACTTAATTGCAGAGCAGAAAAGTGACCAGTCTCTTGTTTCCTTAATTGACACATCTGTTACAGAGGATGAGATTGGTGACCTGTCTTGTGGTTATTATTTTAGGAATGGTGTATTGTTGCAAAAGTGGACCCCGCCTTACGCGTCGAAAGATGATGACTGGGGCGTCATCACGCAGGTAGTGGTTCCCTCCAAATTTCGCTCGGAGGTTCTTAGACTGGCTCACGAAAATCCGTTAGCTGGTCACTTGGGGATTAAAAAAACTTACGACCGTGTCTTGCGTCAGTTTTTTTGGCATGGATTAAAGAAGGATGTTAAAATGTACTGTAAAACATGTCATACATGTCAGGTGGCAGGGAAGTCAAAACCTCCCATCCCACCCTATCCTTTACATCCTATACCAGCTATTGGTTCACCTTTTGATCATGTTGTTGTTGATTGCGTTGGCCCTTTGCCCCGTACAAAATCGGGTAATCAATACTTGTTAACCATTATGTGCGCAGCTACACGCTTTCCTGAGGCTATTCCCATGCGCAAGATAACTGCGCCGGCTGTGGTGAAGGCACTTGTGAAGTTTTTTTCATTGTTTGGCCTCCCTAAAATTATTCAAACAGACCGAGGAACTAACTTTATGTCTCGTGTTTTTGCTCAGGTGGCGAAGGAGCTGGAAATCACTCACTCATTCTCTAGCGCTTATCATCCGGAAAGCCAGGGTGCGCTCGAGCGTTTTCACCAGACTCTGAAAGCTATGCTTCGTGCGTACTGTCTCGAGTTTGAGAAGGAGTGGGATGATGGTGTGCACCTGTTGCTTTTTGCTGCGCGTGAGGTAGTGCAGGAGTCAACAGGATTTAGTCCTGCTGACCTTGTTTTTGCTCATAATGTTAGAGGCCCTCTAAAATTACTTCATGAGAATTGGATGAGTGACTTGCACACTTGTAACATCTTGGATTATGTTAGTTCTTTTCGCTATAAACTGTATAGAGCTTGTGAGTTAGCTAAACAAAATCTTTCTGTTGCGCAGTCCAGAATGAAGGGCTGGTTTGACAGGAAAGCTAAAGTTCGACAGTTTAGTCCTGGCGATAAGGTGCTTGTCTTTTTGCCACTTCCTGGTTCGAGTCTCCAGGCACGTCTTAGTGGTCCATATTTTGTTCGTAAGAAAGTGACTGAGAGAGACTACATAGTAGCTACTCCTGATCGTGCTCGTGGTAGCAGGCTCTGTCATGTCAACATGCTTAAGCCATATTTTGAGCGTGAGCATGTGGACATGGCCTCTTCTGATGGGGAGGCGGTTCTCGCAGTGTTCCCTGCTCACTGTGATGACTCTTTGAATCTGTCC